CTGGTGAACTGCGGATCCTCTGTCTTAGATATGGGTCCTAGTTCTATGCGATGCTGTGAAGAATATAAGAAATTTGATACATAAGCAGATGATCAGTCAGGAGTCCAGTTCAGAAGTGTGAGGAAATGAGAGAGAAATCTTGTGTCCTACAACATGGTTGTAGCCAGTAGGGACAGCAGGAAAAGTCAATCTAGTATAACGATGCCCTGACATTAGCAGAGGTGCTAACGTGTGGAGTTCATGAGAATAATGACCATAGTAGTAGTAGGGATAAAAGACTAACAAGGGAGCGATGCTTTTTGTCGTGATGGTTGTAATGTTGATGGTGGTTGTGGTGCTTTGTGCTATGATGGAGATGATGATAGTTTGTGATGTGGTGATGGTGGATGTGATGGTTTGTGCTGTGGCGGTGATGTTGGTGGTGGTTCCCGTGTGTGTTGGTGCAGCCAAGCAAGAGGACGATGAGATGGTGTGCCAGATCATTTACGTCTTCCACCAGATGATCTTCCACCAGGCCACTCGAGATGTTATCGTCAAGGAGACGCGTATCCTTGGAAACAATTCTGCTTCATCATTGCACACTGCTCCTGCTCACTGCCTTTAAATAATAATAATAATTTAGTACGTTTGTTATTCATACCATCAATTTCCTCCGCTTGCTGTGGGCAATGAGCAAGGCGGTGATTGTTGCTCCACGCTCGGTCCGTGGGACGGCACACCAGCATGTTGATGGTGGGTGGGTGGGTAGGTGGGCGGGCAGGCGGGCGGGCAGGTGGGCGGACGGGCGGGTGGGCGGGCGAGTGTGGCTCCTTGACGGTGGTATTCCACCAGAGGCGCCGGCGTACCTCATCGACCTGATGCACGACAAGAACGCGGAGATCCGAAAAGTGTGCGACAGCACCCTGGACATCATCGCAGTGAGCGTCGCACCGACCGATCGACCGACCGCTCGCTCACTCATTCACTCGCTCGCTCGCTCACTCATTAACTCGCTCACTTATTCACTCGCTCACTCATTCACTCGCTCACTTATTCACTCCCTCTCTCACTCACTTCCGTAAACTAACCCCCGGTCGTGCCGCGTGCTCAGGAATACGACGAGTCGTGGGCGCGCAAGATCCAGAGCGAGAAGTTCCGGTGGCACAACTCTCAGTGGCTGGAGATGGTGGAGAACCAGCAGGGGGATGACGGAGAGGGCTTCCCCTACGGAGACACCCCCATGGAGCCCTACCTGTACGACCGGGCGCCGCTCCTCTACTCCACAGGTGAGTGCCGCCCTCCCGCACGCAGCCCGACCGGCGTGCGGCCACGTGCACACGCAACCTGCAGTGCGGTGAGTTGTCAGGGCTTGCACCATGGCGATTCTAGCGCGGTCTTCTACATTCTGTTAGGTCCTGGACCTCCCCAAGGTAAACTTGGCCTCAAATGTGTACCTGGTTCTGCGTGTAAACATTGGCACTGGGGAGACAAAAGCAGCCGGGTGTGATGTTAGCCACACAACCTCCTTGTGAGTCGCACCGGCATTAAAAGGCGCTCACTCGCAGCACTTACCCCAATAGTCTGTTAAGGGTACACTGGGGTCTTTGTAAATGCAGCACGTTTGTGGTGTGTATGATTGGTAAGTATGGACTGGTGTGTGTTGTATGGACTGGTGTGTGTTGTGGCATTTCTGTGTTGTGGCGTGCGCGTCAGATGGGTTGCTGGCCCCAGACGGCGTGGTGAGCCCCTCCTACCTGGAAGACTACCGACTTCCCAATGGGGACTCTGCCAGCAGGTGAGTTCATTGGTGGCATGCAGTCGTGTTTCTTGACAAGTGAGTTGTGTACATTGGCAGTGCTCGGTGGTAACGATCGGCCCTGTGTGTAGTTTGATGCTGGACGGCCTGGGAATGCCTGCACGACCCACGACGGCGTACGGTTACCGTGCCGACGAGGGCGCCACCGCCTCCTCCTCCTTTCACTACGGCTACGACGCCAACTAAGGACCGGAGCTTGTTGCTATAGCGCCCATCTTGCAGCCGGCACAACACCCGCACACCACTCTCTCACGACGCCCAGCCACAGCACACTGCACACACCTTGCCCATGCGCTGTGCGCGCCACTGTCCCAAGGCACCCTGCGCTTGCACCCTGCACTTGCACCCTGCACGCCACTCTCAGAACACCCTCGCCCTTGGCTGACAGAACCATGCTTGTTCGAGCTCATACATGAGGCACCCAATAGCATTCACCTGCTCCTAAATACCTGCGACACAAGCCCCCAGTCTCCCGTGGCTGAGGGACCGGCCCCCACACCTGGTCGTGTCACACGGGCATTTATTGATGTGCATTCTACTGTGACGCGGCATCATGACGTCGACCTGTCCGCTCTGCTGTGCGGCATATCTCGTGGTATACATCCACAAGACAGTCCAGGAATTGACACTTGTGTACGGGTGGTAGGAATTTAATTGGACCGAGATCTGGCGATGTGTTGAAACGTTATTGTAGTAAACTGCACATTTTTTAATAATCCACCTAGTGTTGACTGAAAAATATGTCCAGGTATGGTCTCCAGTGGAAAAGGTGACATACCGTGTGTCGCTGGGCAGTGTGAGTTGAAGGCGGGGAGCAGAATAAGTAGCGTACAACGGATTTCGCTGCATGTAGCCCCGCAGCAGCCTAGAGCAGGGGTCGGCAACCTACGGCTCTGGAGCCGCATGCGGCTCTTTACGGGCTGCTTCTTGACGATGAGTACGTATGTACAGTATGTACTCAGATGCATTGCGGCTCTTGAAATACTGAATTTTGTACCGAATTGGAAAGAAATGGCTCTTCTTGTTATTTTGGTTGCCGACCCCTGGCCTAGAGCAACCTGCTTGCAAGGTGGCCGCCCATCCCAGCACTATCCTGGCTCCTGTGAGCTGTTTAAACGGTACTTAACGTCGCGCTGTAGAGTGTACTAGCAAATGATTGAGAACGCTAACTTAAATAAATATGTATATGTCGGTTGTGAATTATTAAAGGCGATTGTATGAAGTGGAACCAGTTTGTGGCAGTGTCTGTTTTGTGAAAACTGAGTGAACTGCTGCTGTGGAGGAGGCGGGAAGCTTCACCTGGTGAGGATGAGCTTCTACCCATATCGCAGCAAATCAAGAAATGTAGAGAAATTACAGAAAAGTGTTTTAACACCCGGGACTACTACACAGAAACCCAAGAATCCCTCTCCCACAGAAACCCAAGAATCCCTCTCCCATAGAAACCCAAGAATCCCTCTCACACAGAAACCCAAGAATCCCTCTCCCACAGAAACCCAAGAATCCCTCTCCCATAGAAACCCAAGAATCCCTCTCCCACAGAAACCCAAGAATCCCTCTCCCATAGAAACCCAAGAATCTCTCTCCCACAGAAACCCAAGAATCTCTCTCCCACAGAAACCCAAGAATCCCTCTCCCATAGAAACCCAAGAATCCCTCTCCCACAGAAACCCAAGAATCCCTCTCCCATAGAAACCCAAGAATCTCTCTCCCACAGAAACCCAAGAATCCCTCTCCCATAGAAACCCAAGAATCCCTCTCCCATAGAAACCCAAGAATCTCTCTCCCACAGAAACCCAAGAATCCCTCTCCCACAGAAACCCAAGAATCCCTCTCCCACAGAAACCCAAGAATCCCTCTCCCATAGAAACCCAAGAATCTCTCTCCCACAGAAACCCAAGAATCCCTCTCCCATAGAAACCCAAGAATCCCTCTCCCATAGAAACCCAAGAATCTCTCTCCCACAGAAACCCAAGAATCCCTCTCCCACAGAAACCCAAGAATCCCTCTCCCACAGAAACCCAAGAATCCCTCTCCCACAGAAACCCAAGAATCCCTCTCCCACAGAAACCCAAGAATCCCTCTCCCATAGAAACCCAAGAATCCCTCTCCCACAGAAACCCAAGAATCTCTCTCCCATAGAAACCCAAGAATCCCTCTCCCACAGAAACCCAAGAATCTCTCTCCCATAGAAACCCAAGAATCCCTCTCCCATAGAAACCCAAGAATCCCTCTCCCACAGAAACCCAAGAATCTCTCTCCCATAGAAACCCAAGAATCCCTCTCCCACAGAAACCCAAGAATCCCTCTCCCACAGAAACCCAAGAATCTCTCTCCCATAGAAACCCAAGAATCCCTCTCCCATAGAAACCCAAGAATCCCTCTCCCATAGAAACCCAAGAATCCCTCTCCCACAGAAACCCAAGAATCTCTCTCCCATAGAAACCCAAGAATCTCTCTCCCACAGAAACCCAAGAATCCCTCTCCCATAGAAACCCAAGAATCCCTCTCCCATAGAAACCCAAGAATCTCTCTCCCACAGAAACCCAAGAATCCCTCTCCCATAGAAACCCAAGAATCCCTCTCCCACAGAAACCCAAGAATCCCTCTCCCACAGAAACCCAAGAATCCCTCTCCCACAGAAACCCAAGAATCCCTCTCCCATAGAAACCCAAGAATCCCTCTCCCACAGAAACCCAAGAATCCCTCTCACACAGAAACCCAAGAATCCCTCTCCCACAGAAACCCAAGAATCCCTCTCCCATAGAAACCCAAGAATCCCTCTCCCATAGAAACCCAAGAATCCCTCTCCCACAGAAACCCAAGAATCTCTCTCCCATAGAAACCCAAGAATCCCTCTCCCACAGAAACCCAAGAATCCCTCTCCCATAGAAACCCAAGAATCCCTCTCCCACAGAAACCCAAGAATCCCTCTCCCATAGAAACCCAAGAATCCCTCTCCCATAGAAACCCAAGAATCCCTCTCCCACAGAAACCCAAGAATCTCTCTCCCATAGAAACCCAAGAATCCCTCTCCCATAGAAACCCAAGAATCCCTCTCCCATAGAAACCCAAGAATCCCTCTCCCACAGAAACCCAAGAATCTCTCTCCCATAGAAACCCAAGAATCCCTCTCCCATAGAAACCCAAGAATCCCTCTCCCATAGAAACCCAAGAATCCCTCTCCCATAGAAACCCAAGAATCTTGGCGCGCACTGCGCATGCGCCTCGGAAGTAAAACTTGGCTGTGCAGGAGCGCGGCCTCGGGACCTGGGACCCGGGACCAGGACTCGGCCGCCACCGCCGCCACCAGCAGCAGCGCCGCGCAGGTAGACGGGGACCCCTCGGGGGACCCGCCCGCACGGACCCCTCGGGGGACCCGCCCGGACCCCGCCACCCACCCAGCGCCTCCTCGCCCCGCTCCGCCTCGCGAACAGAACCGCGCTCCGGTGGCGAGGTCCGAGCGACGAGACCCCGAGCGGGACCCCCATGGCGACGCGATCTTGCCCAGAGGCGGAGCGGGGAGCAGCGGGGAGCTGCGGGGGGAGGGGGGGGGCAGGGGCCGAGACGCGTTGCGATTCCCTCGCTCCGTCTCCACGCGCAGGCCGCCCCACGGAGCTCCGCGAGGGGCCAAGGCCCCACGACGGAGCCCGGCCCCGGGACCGAGGGCTGAGTGTCCCCCCTGAAAGGGGATGAGGGGCTCGAGGGGGGTAGGGGACCCTGTGGATCGAGGGGGTGGGTTTAGGGGGGTAGGGAGTCGGGGATCTGTCACCCCCTCTGCCTCCCTGGCTCCCCTCGCTCGGCCGCAGAAGTGGAGGGAGTTGGGGTCTCATTTAAAGGGACAATGGCAGCAACAGCATCAACAACAACAACAACCACCACAGAATAGAGTCCCGCAATAACACAAACAGCATGAACACTACACGAGTAGCATGAACACTACACGAGTAGCATGAACACAACACGAGAAGCATGAACACTACACGAGCAGCATGAACACAACACGAGTAGCATGAACACAACACGAGTAGCATGAACACAACACGAGCAGCATGAACACTACACGAGCAGCATGAACACAACACGAGCAGCATGAACACAACACGAGTAGCATGAACACAACACGAGCAGCATGAACACAACACGAGCAGCATGAACACAACACGAGCAGCATGAACACAACACGAGCAGCATGAACAACACGAGTAGCATGAACACAACACGAGTAGCATGAACACAACACGAGCAGCATGAACACAACACGAGTAGCATGAACACTACACGAGTAGCATGAACACTACACGAGCAGCATGAACACTACACGAGCAGCATGAACACAACACGAGTAGCATGAACACAACACGAGCAGCATGAACACTACACGAGAAGCATGAACACAACACGAGCAGCATGAACACTACACGAGAAGCATGAACACTACACGAGCAGCATGAACACAACACGAGCAGCATGAACACAACACGAGCAGCATGAACACTACACGAGCAGCATGAACACCACACGAGTAGCATGAACACAACACGAGCAGCATGAACACTACACGAGCAGCATGAACACAACACGAGCAGCATGAACACTACACGAGCAGCATGAACACTACACGAGCAGCATGAACACAACACGAGCAGCATGAACACTACACGAGAAGCATGAACACAACACGAGCAGCATGAACACTACACGAGCAGCATGAACACTACACGAGCAGCATGAACACTACACGAGAAGCATGAACACAACACGAGCAGCATGAACACAACACGAGCAGCATGAACACAACACGAGCAGCATGAACACAACACGAGCAGCATGAACACTACACGAGCAGCATGAACACTACACGAGCAGCATGAACACTACACGAGCAGCATGAACACTACACGAGCAGCATGAACACTACACGAGCAGCATGAACACACACGAGCAGCATGAACACTACACGAGCAGCATGAACACTACACGAGCAGCATGAACACAACACGAGCAGCATGAACACTACACGAGCAGCATGAACACAACACGAGCAGCATGAACACTACACGAGCAGCATGAACACTACACGAGCAGCATGAACACTACACGAGCAGCATGAACACTACACGAGCAGCATGAACACTACACGAGCAGCATGAACACTACACGAGCAGCATGAACACTACACGAGCAGCATGAACACTACACGAGCAGCATGAACACTACACGAGCAGCATGAACACTACACGAGCAGCATGAACACTACACGAGCAGCATGAACCTACCCAGCATGAACACTACACGAGCAGCATGAACACTACACGAGCAGCATGAACACTACACGAGCAGCATGAACACTACACGAGCAGCATGAACACTACACGAGCAGCATGAACACAACACGAGAAGCATGAACACTACACGAGCAGCATGAACACTACACGAGCAGCATGAACACAACACGAGAAGCATGAACACTACACGAGCAGCATGAACACTACACGAGCAGCATGAACACTACACGAGCAGCATGAACACTACACGAGCAGCATGAACACTACACGAGCAGCATGAACACTACACGAGCAGCATGAACACTACACGAGCAGCATGAACACTACACGAGCAGCATGAACACAACACGAGAAGCATGAACACTACACGAGCAGCATGAACACTACACGAGCAGCATGAACACTACACGAGTAGCATGAACACAACACGAGCAGCATGAACACTACACGAGTAGCATGAACACAACACGAGCAGCATGAACACAACACGAGCAGCATGAACACAACACGAGTAGCATGAACACAACACGAGCAGCATGAACACAACACGAGCAGCATGAACACAACACGAGCAGCATGAACACAACACGAGCAGCATGAACACAACACGAGTAGCATGAACACAACACGAGCAGCATGAACACTACACGAGCAGCATGAACACAACACGAGTAGCATGAACACAACACGAGCAGCATGAACACAACACGAGTAGCATGAACACAACACGAGCAGCATGAACACAACACGAGCAGCATGAACACTACACGAGCAGCATGAACACAACACGAGCAGCATGAACACAACACGAGTAGCATGAACACAACACGAGCAGCATGAACACCACACGAGTAGCATGAACACAACACGAGCAGCATGAACACTACACGAGAAGCATGAACACTACACGAGAAGCATGAACACTACACGAGAAGCATGAACACAACACGAGTAGCATGAACACAACACGAGCAGCATGAACACAACACGAGCAGCATGAACACAACACGAGCAGCATGAACACAACACGAGCAGCATGAACACAACACGAGCAGCATGAACACAACACGAGTAGCATGAACACAACACGAGCAGCATGAACACCACACGAGTAGCATGAACACAACACGAGCAGCATGAACACTACACGAGAAGCATGAACACAACACGAGCAGCATGAACACAACACGAGCAGCATGAACACAACACGAGCAGCATGAACACAACACGAGCAGCATGAACACAACACGAGCAGCATGAACACAACACGAGCAGCATGAACACAACACGAGCAGCATGAACACAACACGAGCAGCATGAACACTACACGAGCAGCATGAACACTACACGAGTAGCATGAACACAACACGAGCAGCATGAACACTACACGAGCAGCATGAACACTACACGAGCAGCATGAACACTACACGAGCAGCATGAACACAACACGAGTAGCATGAACACAACACGAGCAGCATGAACACAACACGAGTAGCATGAACACAACACGAGCAGCATGAACACAACACGAGCAGCATGAACACTACACGAGCAGCATGAACACAACACGAGCAGCATGAACACAACACGAGTAGCATGAACACAACACGAGCAGCATGAACACCACACGAGCAGCATGAACACAACACGAGCAGCATGAACACTACACGAGAAGCATGAACACTACACGAGAAGCATGAACACAACACGAGTAGCATGAACACAACACGAGCAGCATGAACACAACACGAGCAGCATGAACACAACACGAGCAGCATGAACACAACACGAGCAGCATGAACACAACACGAGCAGCATGAACACAACACGAGCAGCATGAACACAACACGAGCAGCATGAACACCACACGAGCAGCATTAACACAACACGAGCAGCATGAACACTACACGAGAAGCATGAACACAACACGAGCAGCATGAACACAACACGAGCAGCATGAACACAACACGAGCAGCATGAACACAACACGAGCAGCATGAACACAACACGAGCAGCATGAACACAACACGAGCAGCATGAACACAACACGAGCAGCATGAACACAACACGAGCAGCATGAACACTACACGAGCAGCATGAACACTACACGAGTAGCATGAACACAACACGAGCAGCATGAACACAACACGAGCAGCATGAACACTACACGAGCAGCATGAACACTACACGAGCAGCATGAACACAACACGAGCAGCATGAACACAACACGAGCAGCATGAACACAACACGAGTAGCATGAACACAACACGAGCAGCATGAACACTACACGAGCAGCATGAACACAACACGAGCAGCATGAACACTACACGAGTAGCATGAACACTACACGAGCAGCATGAACACAACACGAGTAGCATGAACACAACACGAGTAGCATGAACACAACACGAGTAGCATGAACACAACACGAGTAGCATGAACACTACACGAGTAGCATGAACACAACACGAGTAGCATGAACACTACACGAGTAGCATGAACACAACACGAGTAGCATGAACACAACACGAGCAGCATGAACACTACACGAGCAGCATGAACACAACACGAGCAGCATGAACACAACACGAGCAGCATGAACACTACACGAGTAGCATGAACACTACACGAGCAGCATGAACACAACACGAGCAGCATGAACACAACACGAGCAGCATGAACACTACACGAGTAGCATGAACACAACACGAGCAGCATGAACACAACACGAGCAGCATGAACACAACACGAGCAGCATGAACACTACACGAGCAGCATGAACACAACACGAGTAGCATGAACACAACACGAGCAGCATGAACACTACACGAGCAGCATGAACACAACACGAGCAGCATGAACACAACACGAGCAGCATGAACACTACACGAGCAGCATGAACACAACACGAGCAGCATGAACACAACACGAGCAGCATGAACACAACACGAGAAGCATGAACACTACACGAGCAGCATGAACACAACACGAGCAGCATGAACACAACACGAGAAGCATGAACACAACACGAGAAGCATGAACACTACACGAGCAGCATGAACACAACACGAGCAGCATGAACACAACACGAGCAGCATGAACACAACACGAGCAGCATGAACACAACACGAGAAGCATGAACACAACACGAGCAGCATGAACACAACACGAGCAGCATGAACACAACACGAGCAGCATGAACACAACACGAGCAGCATGAACACTACACGAGTAGCATGAACACAACACGAGCAGCATGAACACTACACGAGAAGCATGAACACAACACGAGCAGCATGAACACAACACGAGAAGCATGAACACTACACGAGCAGCATGAACACAACACGAGCAGCATGAACACAACACGAGCAGCATGAACACTACACGAGCAGCATGAACACTACACGAGTAGCATGAACACAACACGAGCAGCATGAACACAACACGAGAAGCATGAACACAACACGAGAAGCATGAACACTACACGAGTAGCATGAACACAACACGAGCAGCATGAACACTACACGAGCAGCATGAACACAACACGAGCAGCATGAACACTACACGAGCAGCATGAACACAACACGAGAAGCATGAACACAACACGAGCAGCATGAACACAACACGAGCAGCATGAACACTACACGAGCAGCATGAACACTACACGAGTAGCATGAACACAACACGAGCAGCATGAACACAACACGAGCAGCATGAACACTACACGAGCAGCATGAACACTACACGAGTAGCATGAACACTACACGAGCAGCATGAACACAACACGAGCAGCATGAACACAACACGAGCAGCATGAACACTACACGAGCAGCATGAACACTACACGAGTAGCATGAACACAACACGAGCAGCATGAACACAACACGAGAAGCATGAACACAACACGAGCAGCATGAACACTACACGAGTAGCATGAACACAACACGAGCAGCATGAACACTACACGAGTAGCATGAACACAACACGAGAAGCATGAACACTACACGAGCAGCATGAACACAACACGAGCAGCATGAACACAACACGAGCAGCATGAACACAACACGAGAAGCATGAACACTACACGAGCAGCATGAACACAACACGAGCAGCATGAACACAACACGAGCAGCATGAACACAACACGAGAAGCATGAACACTACACGAGCAGCATGAACACAACACGAGCAGCATGAACACAACACGAGCAGCATGAACACTACACGAGCAGCATGAACACTACACGAGCAGCATGAACACTACACGAACAGCATGAACACTACACAAACAGCATGAACACTACACGAGCAGCATGAACACAACACAAACAGCATGAACACTACACGAGCAGCATGAACACTACACGAGCAGCATGAACACTACACAAACAGCATGAACACTACACGAGAAGCATGAACACTACACGAGCAGCATGAACACTACACAAACAGCATGAACACTACACGAGCAGCATGAACACTACACGAGCAGCATGAACAATGTTAGCATCACCAATATTACACTTAACACAACAACAACCAACACACTCGCAATGACATTAACACAACAACATTGTCAACACGCAGCAGCAGCATTAACACAACAACAACAACCAACACACTCGCAATGACATTAACACAACAACCACAGCCTGACGCTGCTGCTGCTGCCACTCGTTCCCACGTGTGGCACTCGCTGAGTGATTGCGGGGCATGCAGAGGAGTCGAGGTACTGGCTGGGTGGCGGTACACGCTGAGTTGTAATGGTTGTACACATTGGGCTCTGGCAATAGACTAAGGTGTACACACGAAGTTGTGATTGTGGTACACGGAGTCGTTGTTGTGCTGTCACACTCACCTCTGTCCACACTGGGTTGTGGAGGTAGTCGTGGTACACACACAGAGTTGTACGCTAAGTTGTGGTGGTTGTGTTACACACCAAGTCATGCTGTCACACTCACCTCTGCGCTGTCGACCGTGGCAGTGAGGACGGTTGCCAGGGAGACGCAGTTGCCATGGAGGAGCCCGGCTCGACGCGCAGGGCGGATGGGTCCTCGGAGTCCCTGTCGACGCTGAACAGCGACGAGTACGTGGTGGTGGCGTCCGGGCAGGCCGACGACACGGAGCGCCCAGCCCTCAAGGTGGGACGCGACCACGGCACCCAGCCGGGCGCAGGCAACGGGGTCGGCGCTAGCGGCGCATGGTGGCGATGAGCGATGGATGCTGCGGCGGTTGTGGCTGTTGTGTGGAGTAAACTTACTGTTTGGTTCCTTCGGTAAAGTCACGTAGAAAATAAAATCAAATAATAGAAAACGACGTTTCGGTTGCAAAACAAGCAACCGTCATCAGGCAAGACTGAATGATGAACACAGACACGGGAACAGCATAGGCAGACACACGTGCAGAGAGAGAGACACACAAAGACAGCACTTGTCCCGACAGCCTATTATGGCTATACAGGGGAAATTTGTGTTGTGGTTATTGCGCTGCGCTACGAATTTGACGACCCGAGTTCTATTTCCGCACATGGCTTCCAACACCAGTGACGACTATCTGAACTGGTCCTGGCCCTCCCCTAGGTCGACTCAGCCATAAATAAGTACCTGGTGCGGCGTGTGAATATCACCATTAGGGAGACAAAGGCGGCCAGGCGTCATGCTGGTCACACCGCCCTTCTCGTGTGCTGTGCCGGCCTTCACAGGTCCTCGCCAACAGCCCCAACGGTGCGTTAAATGCATCACGTGGGGATCTTTGTCTCTGTCGTGGCAGATCGTGGGCAATGGCAGTGAGCAGCAGCTCAGGCAGGTGCTGGCCGAGGTGCTCAGCGACGCCACGGACTCCTCGCCCCGCGAGGCCGGCGGCTCCCTGGAGCTGGCGCCCAGCGGCCAGGGGGACGGGGCGTCGGGCGGAGGAGGGGGAGGCGATGAGGTGGAGGTGGAGAGGGAGGCGGAGAGGGTGGGAGCAGATTTGATGGAGGAGGTGGAGAGCGAGACCAGCACCCCGATGGTCAGCCCTGTGGCGACCCCCACCACCCCCGACATTGACCCCTGGCAGCTGGGGGCTGGAGGTACCCACACCACACTCACCGTGTCACTCGCCTCGGTTGGGTGATTGTGGTGCTCGCGAGCAGGTGTTGATGGTGTTTGGTTCTCGTAAGTGCTACGCTGGTAAGTGTGTACGGAACTAGATTGTGCTTTCCGTGATTATTCTTCGTGTGTGTGTGTGGTTTCACTGAGTGTGCGGTTCCAGTGAGATAGTGTAGTTCCACTGTGAGAGTGTGATGGCAGCGATTGAGTGAGTGTGTGTGTGGGTGGCCAGGCAAGGAGGAGGAGAACGTGCAGTTCAGCAAGCTCACGTACCTGGGCTCGGCGTCGGTGAACGCCCCACGCAGTGAGACGGAGGCGCTGCGCATGATGGCGCTGCTCCGCGAGCAGTGCCAGGTGCCCATCGATGTGACGCTGTGCGTCCCCAACACGGCCGAGGGCTCCGTCAGGTGGGCCCTCCCCTCCCAACCCTCCCTCCCTCTCAGGATCTCTGTGCCTCCCTCTCTACCCATCCACCTCCTCGCCACCTCTTCGTCGCCATCACCTCACTCGGCTCCTCGCACGATCCCAACGCTCCACTCCACCGCTCTCACCCCACCACCTCGCGATAACAACTCTCGTCTCACCTGTTTCCTGTCGCCCACCGTCCCTACTCTGCTGCCACCTCCGTCTCTGTGGTCCGTGTTTCGTCAGTGATTGATGAGTCCGCCTCTCGAAGTTTGGAGCCAAAGTTGCATTTTAAATTGCGTGCCGGTGTGCATGTGCTGCGCGTGTGCTGCGTGTGTGTGTGTGTGCTGCATGTGGGTGTGTGCTGCATGGAGAGCTTGGTGCAATGGTGAGCACGCTGCGCTATGAACCTGGCGACTTGAGTTTCAATTCCCGCTCATGGCCAATATCAGGAAAGATTACCTGATACGGTCCTGGGCCACCCACCCCCTCGTGTGCCGTGCCGGCCCTCACAGGTGCTACTCTGTATTTCCCATAAATCTGCATTTCCCATAAATATGCTAAATTCCTCTTGATATGCAAATCCTTTTGTCAAGGCGCTCTTCGCCCCTCCATCCCAGCTTAAATAGTCGCTCCAAGCCTGCGGCTTGTCATTCAGACTCTGTCTCCTCGACAGACCTGTTCTCCACCTGAGGACGGATACTTGCGTTGTGGCCGAAACGTCGTGAGAATTATTTTATTATGTTTTATTTTTATTATTTTATTATTTCCATTCTACGTGACTTTACCGAAAGAATCAAGAAGGTGCTACTCGCTAACAGCACTTGCCCCAATGGTCTGTTAAGGGTACACAGGGGATGTTTGTTCCACGTGCGGCACCGCAGGCTGCTGGACCCGCACACGGGCGTGGAGATCTCCAGCTTCCCCATCTACAAGATCCTGTTCTGTGCCCGCGGCCACGATGGCACCGGCGAGAGCGACTGCTTCGCCTTCACCGAGAGCCAGTGCCGCGCCGAGTTCTTCCGCATCCACGTCTTCCGCTGCGAGATCCGCGAAGCCGTGAGCGGTGCCCCCGTCGCCCCCTCCACCCCCTCCCACCGCCCCCTCCATCCCCTCCCACCACCCCCTCCATCCCCTCCCACCGCCCCCTCCACCCCCTCCCACCACCCCCTCCATCCCCTCCCACCACCCCCTCCATCGCCTCCCACCACCCCCCCTCCATCCCCTCCCACCGCCCCCTCCATCCCCTCCCACCACCCCCTCCATCCCCTCCCACCACCCCCTCCACCCCCTCCCACCACCCCCTCCATCCCCTCCCACCACCCCCTCCATCCCCTCCCACCGCCCCCTCCACCCCCTCCCACCGCCCCCTCCATCGCCTCCCACCGCCCCCTCCATCCCCTCCCACCACCCCTCCATCCCCTCCCACCACCCCCTCCATCCCCTCCCACCGCCCCCTCCACCCCTCCCACCGCCCCCTCCATCCCCTCCCACCGCCCCCTCCATCCCCTCCACCACCCCCTCCATCCCCTCCCACCACCCGCTCCATCCCCTCCCACCACCCCCTCCATCCCCTCCCACCACCCCCCTCCATCCCCTCCTACCACCCCCTCCATCCCCTCCCACCGCCCCCTCCACCCCCTCCCACCCGGCCCCCTCCATACCCTCCCCCCAGCCCTTCCATCCCTCCCACCGCCCCCTCCACCCTCCCCCCCCTCCTCCCCTCCCACCCGCCCCCTCCATCCCCTCCCACCGCCCCCTCCATCCCCCCCCACCGTCCCCCTCACACCCCCTCCCACCAGCCCCCCTCCATCCCCTCCCACCACCCCCCTCCATCCCCTCCACCGCCCCCATCCATCCCCATTCCCACCGCCCCCTCCATCCCCTCCCACCGCCCCATCCATCCCCTCCCACCGCCCCCTCCATCCCCTCCCACACCCCCTCCATCCCCTCCCACCGCCCCCTCCATCCCCTCCCACCCACTCCATCCCT